TTGAATTATGTGATGATTTGAGATGTTTACTTGTCAAATTAGGACATTCTTAAATGTAATTCTTAATTTTGATTTTTGATATCTTAAATTTATTAGATATACTCTTGAATTTATTTTGATTATTAATTAATAATCATATTAAGTGAACTTTATTCTTCTTCCAATCTGATTTGTTTCTATTCAAGTATAGATTAGTTTGTTTTCATTTCTAAAATTTATTATTGTGATTTAAGGTGTAATTGCTATTCTTGAGTTAATTCATCTTTTTTAAGATTCAACTCATTCTATAATTATTGCATTTCATTTAATTTAATATCTAATTATTTTCTTACATATAGATATAAAATTACTTAATTGGGATTTCTTCTTCCATATATTGAGATTTCAATAATTTAGATTAAACTTCAATTAGACTATCCCTTTAATATCTAAATTTGCCTAAATCTTTTTTAGTTTAATTAATTTGTGTTTATTGTTAGAGAATGATTGCTTTATCATTCTATTATAAAAGCATTAAATCTTATATCTTATGTTTCAGTTCATTAACAACTAATCTAAAATAAAACAATATTTTTACTTGGATTTATAGAATTTTTTTTATAATTGTGCATATTTATCATTTTAAGTTTAGATGGTATCCTCTAAATATTTAATGGTTATTTCATTTTTTTTGATTAATTCATCGTACTATAATATCTCTTAAGCATTCTAATTTAGATTAAGTTTCAATAACTCTAATTCAACTAGATTATGTTGATATTGAAGTTAATCTTTTTTAAGTTAATCTAATTTTTGATTTTCTTTTAATTCTGAATCTTCTTATTCTTTTAATAATTAATCATAACTCTCTTACAACAATTAACTAATAAAAATGAGATAGATTACATTTCTGATTATAAATGTTTATTTTATTCATTATCAATTTCTGTTTTAATTTCATCTATATTGATTTGAGAACAATTTAATAATAAACTATTAATTTATTATCTAAATAATATATATATAACTATAAAATTACTTTTACATAGCCACATGATTCCGACTTTCTTTGAGAGACAATTCTAATTTCTATTTTTTCATTTCTATTTTCTTAATTTGTTCTCCCATTTCAACTCTAAAGTAAAATAATAAAAAATTTTACATGGTTTCATCTTTCTCAAAAATATTATACTCAAAATCTTAAATTTATTATTTTAGTTGTTATATAGTGTCATCTGCTTTTCTATTTTATTACTTTTGTTCATGAATGAGCAATTTTAATTCAGCAATCTCAGTGTTCTTTAATTAAAGATGATCATTATGTTCTACAGCAGCAATATGTAAATCTTTGATTTCTTCTACCAATTATTGATTATTCATTCTCAATTCAGTAATCTGATTAAGTAATAATTATTTTTATTCTTCTTCAATCAATTGTTTATTGATAGTATCACAAAATTCTATACTATCATGCATTATAGATTATCTATTAAATTGTATGTTGAAATTGTCTCTATTCTCCAATTAAACTGAATCTTGCATTTCCTATTGTAGATCTATTGATGTATTTGAAATCTCATCTTCATTTAATATGAAACTAGATGAAAGTTGATGATGTACAATCATGTTTATGATAGTTAAAGAAATTTGATATAAAAATGAATTTGTTTAACTTTTATTTAATAAGGTCAGAATGCACCCTTGAGTTATGATTTAACATAATCGGTGAATCTTGGTTAATTTAATAAATCCAAGGCTTAATGAGCAGCATTCAATTCTTTATTGTATTCAGCAACTGTGGCATTGTAAACATCGGTGGCGAAAGCAAAGTCGTCATTTTCGGCTTACAATTATCCATTCAATGTATCCAAATCAGCATGTAATTCATCAATCAAATCAAGAGTTTATTCGATTTTGTCTATATTTATTTAATAAATATACTAGCATTAGCTTCAATTTCAGCTGTTTTGACAACAACTGCTCTTTAGAATTCAGCATGTTCTTAGTTTAATTGAATAACTCTTGCTTCAAAATCTTTTTATGCTTCAGCTTCATCAGCTGTGATTGTGTTAAGTGAATCAACTAATTAAACTCTCAAATTATTGAAAGCAACAAGAATCTTTAATAAAATTTATAAAATTAAATTACTTCTTTAAGAGCTCCTTAATCAGCAAAGTTAGCTTCAACAGCTATTTCAATAAGAGTCTTGATGAATGTTTAGAAAGTGCTGTGTCTCTTAAGGGTTTATTAGATTTTTGTCAAATTCTTTTAGACCTTTTAGATTTAGACAAGTGATGGAGCTGATAATTGACTGAGTAAACCAAGTGATTCATCAATGGCACTTATGGCTTCATTATGTTCAGCAACCTTAGCTTCAAAATCAGCATGATCATTAGCTCTTTAGACTGTTGCTTCATTAAGTGTTTTTCTATTTTAAGCAATGTTTTCTTATAATTATTCAAGTTGGGCAGCAAATCTATCTCTTTATGGGATAAGAACATTATCATAGAAATCATGAGCATTGAACACCTCTAATTATGATTTTAATCATAATATTACCTCTTTCTTTATCTTAGATTTCTTATTCAAGTCTTGATACTTCTCTATTGTGAACATCTGTTCTTCTTGCATATTAATGATGGACTTCTGCTAATTCTTCATCCAATTCATCAATCTAAATAGACACATTATGATACAAGTTTGGCAATCTCTGTATTGAGTTCTGCAAGGATACCACCTGTTGATAAATGGAGTTCACCAAAATTCAAGATAAAGTTTCCCCATCCTGATTATTTGATTTGGGCAAACATCTTTTAGTCATGACTTGTCCAAACTGATGCTTTGATATCAATTGCTGTTATGCTAAGAACGAGCAATGTGCAGACTGCTACTTTTAACATATTTTGTTATTATTATTAAAAAAGTCAAAAACGAATACTTCACTTTTATATATTGATTAATTAAATTTCATAATTGCCAAGCCTTTCATTAATAATAGAAAATTTATTATTTTAAAAATTCTTCTCAAAAATTACTAAAATCTTTAAAATTTAAGAATTTTAAAATCAATTTAATTTATTTATTGAATCTCTCAATATATTAATACATAATTTATTTCTATTTATTAAAATACTAACCTTTTTTTCCTTATATCTATACAAAGTAACTTATTTTTATATTATTCATAAATGAGTTACAAACAAATAAAGAATAAACAATTATCAATACAGTTTCATATGATATTACTATCAATATGAATTCTATAATGGACTTTTGTTAATTTTACACATTAAACGCCAATTGTTATTTTATTAATAACTACTAATAATTAATTTATGAATTTGTATAGCCCTTCAAATAAAAAAGCAGTTCATATCAATAAGGAATAATTGATGAATTAAAGAAAAAATGAAATTAAAAGAATAGCAAGTGAAGGTAGAAATTTCAGATTCCAAATCAAAGAATAAGATGATGAATATTATCTGAATAGAATAATTGCATTAAAAGCAGAAAATGATATAGCCTATAATGATTCAAAAAGATAAGAAATTAGTCACGTATTGCTATACAAATATCTAAATATAGATTGATGAGTAGATTTATAAGGAGTTAAACTTTATTAAAAATTAGATTGAGACTGTTAAAAATGAATTAAAAGTATTAAATTTATTTACTTAAAGCTATGTGACAGTGTAAGTTCAGGTAGAAATAGAAGCAACAATCCTTCCATTATAAGTTCTAAAACCTTAGAAACAATGCATTAAAAATTGTCACATATCTACACAAATAATTCTGTCAATCATACTTCAAAAATTAGGAATTTTAGCAATTATGTTATAGAAAAATAATAGAATCTTAGTCCTAAATCTTAATGTGATCAAAAAATATCCAATTCATATATTAAATGGAAAAATAAAGCTCAATAAGTTAAAAAAAATGAGAATAATAATAATAATAATATTTAATAGGGATAATCTAATGATTATCTATTTTGCTTATTCTCAAGATTAAGTAATTCATCTATCATTTAATTAATGGCCAAAAATAAAATAAAAGTCAATTAAGAAGATAAATGTCGTAATTAATGCTCCTATAAAACTTATACATTCAAAAACAATCTAATTACAACATTTAATGAAATAGATAATTTTTATAATCACAATAAATTTCAAAAAAATTTTATGATTATTGGTGGAAAAAGCACTTCTAAAAAAAAAATAGTAGAATAATTAATTAGATCCATGATTTTGTAATTATAGTCAAATGTACTATCAATAAAAGTATCATATGCTATCCATGGATCTATTAGTACACCAGATGTATTTAGATAATTGCCATTCAATATGCAAAATTAAGAAGTTGCTTTATATTAATAAGAATGTCATTTATAAACTCCTGAAGTTATATTTCATCAATTGCAATTATTAATTTAATAATCTCTTACAGATCCATATTATTACATTAAATAGTTTTTTCATGATTAACTTTAGATGACTTAAAACCCATAAATAAAGAAAACATTAATTAACTTAATAAATAAAGACATTAGTTGTATTAAAGGTTATAATATACAGTTATCAACTTATAATGAAAAATTGTAATATAATATTCTTACAACTAACTATTTAATCTCAAGCAATAATTACTCAATCTTTACAGATAATAGTTAAAGTCTTCTTCAAAAAGGGTAAGGACATAATTTTATCCTGGAGTGTTTGGAGTAAATGAATAATGATGAAACTGTTCGATTATTTTGCATTAATCCTCTAAGATATAGAATTAATGATTCCTTACATCTATTAAAAATGATGATTAATTGACTTAGAATTGTATATGAAAGTATTTAAGAAAATTATTTTTCTTTAAAAAGATACATATTAAATATTTTAAATTTAATTAACATAATAAGATAATTCTAATTTTCCTTTTATTATGATAAAATATATATCTATTTAAAAAGGAATTTGTAATACTTTTTCAGCATATGTACATTAATAATTAATTTTAATTAAATATTATTCATGAAATATAAAAAATTTCTCACTACAGATTGTCTCAATTAATTAGTGAAATATATAGGAATGGCTTAGATTAGATATTTATAGAACAGAATAATGATTGCTTATTAACTAAAACTGGAGTTTGTTGGATTATATATTACATTTCAAGAAGATTCTCCATTTTTTTAAATCTACTTTGGACCAAATATTAATAATGAAAAATAAGATTACAATGAAATGATAAAGGTTATATAAGATAGGTTATCTTAACCATTTGATAATTTTAATCCTATAGAATCCATAAAAAAAATATTAGGATTGTTTTAATAATATAATGATAACATGAAAATTAAGTTTGAATTGGTTTGGAAGTATATTTAATATGCTTATACTCTATTTAATGAATACAAATGGATAATGAATGATGAAATAAATAAGCATCGTTTATATAGTTATTTCATCAGAGATTATGATTATGTTACAAAGAATGAACTAGTACATCCCTCACTTTGGTTGAAATCAGATTCTTTTTTAATTCTTCCAGCTTTAGTTAATCAAAGCACATTTTTTGATTATATATTTAGTGTAGATTGTGATAAATAAAAAAAAGTATTGAAAGAATACAATAAAATATCCAATTAATTAGCAATATATTTATTCGAAATAAGAGATATTCTCTAAGAATTTGCAAAACAAAAACTGTAAATTTAGATATATCCTTCTTTATTAAATTTTAATTTTATTAGAATAGATAATCAAAAACCTTATTACCTTAATAATTAACATTTTGAAAGGTTTGTAGAATAAAATAGTAAAGTCTATGCAGAAACAAAAAAAAATATAAGCTACTTTGAAGAATATTTAGAGAAAAACAATTAAATTTAATTAAGAATATTTAATTTTTACCCATCAGATGAAATAGGTTCTGGATTGACTTTAGTTTAAAACAAACATCGAGAAGAATATCCAAAAGAATTTTAAGAATATTGGCAGAGTTTATATAAATAAAAATATCCTTCTAAAAGAGATGTAGAGAGTCTATAAATAAAAGCTGTTTCTCTTGAATACTTGCATTCTTTAAATTGTAATGTCAATTCTAGTTTTGATTACATATAGCATATAATAGATCCAGAGAGAATGATTTGCAAGTAATGTAATTAGTAGATTGATGATTATGGGTCTCTTTTTTATGATAAAACATTCTACTAATTTTACAAATGCTTAAAAGATATATTATTAAGTCCCTATTATATTGATATTCCAGGAGTTTACATTTGTCCAATTACATTAAAATTAATTGGAATAAAAAATAATTTCATGATTAGCTCATAAATTTTGAATTAAAAAGGAGAGCATTTGATAACTTTATATAACTAAACATTGAAATTTGAGCTTCGTGAAGAATTTGATGCTAAATTAGAGGATGATGATGAATATTATGAAATAATGAATGGTATAAGAGAGAGAAATCAAGAATAAACATTAGATGACTTTAATGATGATGAGTAAGATGAAGCAAAATTAAATGAAAAATGAATTTGCTTATATTATTATATTAATGTGAACAGATCACTTTCTCTTTAGAGAAGTTTATGAAGCCAATGATCTTACTTAATCTTTAAAGAGTTGGATAACAACATCAATAATAGCATTTTCCTCTATAATAATTATTATATAATAAAATACCTTATCTTCTAGCAGTTTCTGAGGCATAGAATTCTCTCTTTTCTTCCAAATCAGCTGTAGCACCGGCAACTGCATTTAATGAATCTTTCCATAATTTAAGAGCTTTGGCTTATTAGGCAAGAACAGCTGGGAGTTACTATGAAATTTGATTTATCAATTACAGTTTCTAATTTTTCAACAAGTCCTGTTCTTCTTTCATGTTCTGAGTTCAACCATGCTACTTCAGCATTAGTATCTGAAACGTATTTAGCAAGGGCAAAGGCAGCATGGATTTCTTACTCTTAGAGTGTTGCAAGAGTAGATTCTAATTCGGCTTATAAGTCTTATAAAATTTAAAGGACTTATTCTCCAGTTGTTCCTTCTCTTTTAACTTCAGCAAGGGATTAGAACTTCTATAAGGCATCTTATTAGAAGAGATGACTATAGGCAGATAATTTATCAGCAATGGTTTCAGCCTTTTAGACAAGTTCAACTCCAGCATTATTTGTTAGAAAACCAGCAACGTCTTATTCTAAAAGTTAAACAACACCAATAGCATCAGCATGATCAGCAAGAGACCTAACAAAAAGTCCATTGGCCCAACATCTTTAATCTTAAAGTTAAGCATTTCTTCTTTCAATTTCTGCAAGTCTAGATTCAGCCCAAGATAACCATTAATATCCATCCTAATTATATTTTATAAATAAAATACTCTAATTTAAGCTTCAACATCACCTCTAACTACTCCAAGAGCTTCCCATTATTATTTATTAAGTGAGGCAACATTTGTCAAATCTCCAATAACTTAAGTGAAGATTTCTAAAGATATTTCACTTAAATACCTTCATCTGTGTTGTTCTTCTTGTCAGCAGCAGCTTAAACATTAACGTTTTCTGTTTTGAGATCTCTCAAAAGGTTATATACTGATTCGACTGCATCATTTCCTCTTGTTCCTGTTTATAGTAAAACAGCAAATTTATTTGCATCTACAGCAAATGTAGCAGCCACTAAGCAAATTATCAAAAGAGCTCTCATTATTTTAATTTTAATATTGTAAAAAACGGGCACATTAATCATGCATTTTATAATAAATCATTTTATATTCTTTACAAAATCTAGAGTAATAAAAAGATTCTTTGAGTTTGCTTATCCTTCTTTTTTATTTTAAAATTTCTAGAATTATACCAATTATTCATTAATTTATTATAATTTCTTAATGGGTAGTTAAAGATTTAAAACAAAAGTAAAATTATGTAGTATAGAATTTTTAAATCTAGTAATTCTATTAATAATTGAAATAATGATTATTTTATATTATTTATGTCAATTTTGTATATTCTTTATTATATACTTCAATTTTGTTAATAAAATGCAAAAATAATCTTACCATTTTTGTGTAATTCTTATATAAATTTTATAAATAGATATTCATTATAATGATGGATGCTAAACAAAAGAATATCCAAGGTTCATATAGCAATACTTATTGGATTTTGTAATTAAAATGGGTTTTTATTATAAAATCATAAGACTGAGAGAATTATTATTTCAACCAAGAATTTTACAAAATTTTGATTCTTTAGTATTATTATCATAATCTAATTAATAATTCAGAATCAAGATTAAAAAATATTATTAAACTAAAATTAACATATTTTAAATATGTAATCTACCATATTAAAGTTTAACAAATAATAATATAGATTGATAAATATTATTAATTAATTTTATTATGTATAAATTTATAGTAAATTTTAATCATTAGGATATTCCTTCATCTTTTATAATGGACTTGAAATTTCTATAAAAAAATTCATCAAAAATTAATGTTTGTCTTGGAAATAAAAATATAGTTTATTTGATTGATTAAAACTACTATTTATGACGTTTATTTCCAAAAATTATATAAATAACAAAACAAATGAACTAAAATGTTAAAAAAGCAATACAGGGTAGTTTAGTATAAAACATTAAAAGTTAACAAGAATCAAGCAAAGTAAGATATAAGTTATAAACTATAGTTGACATAACATTTCCTAAGATTGTTGCTCCTTCTAATTCAAGTTTTGTATCTGTGGGCAATAAAGTAAAATTTTTTGTTTCATATTATTATGCTTTTATTGTTTAGAGAATATAAGCTAAAATTTAAGATAATCCTTTTTAGAGATTTCCATTCATAACAATAGGGCAAATAGTTTTTGAAAGATCTTTAAATTAATCTGTTTGATAGTCACATAAATTCCCTTCATTAACATTCTTATAAAATGTAATGGCATTTTAATCGAATAAATATTGATCTGAACTAAAATCTAAATTTTATTTTGAAAATTCTTCAACTTTATCATAAGCTTTAAATAATACTTAATAAATCCCTTCAACTTCTTGATCTGATAAAAAAAAGTATCTTAATGTTCTTCTATATAAGACTTCTCTTTAGGCATAGATTGTTGGGATATCTACACCTAAATCACTAATTTATTAATAGATAACAGCAGTTTTTTCATATTTTTCTAAATATCTTTATATAATAAGGAATATTGACAAAAAGAAGGATAATTGTAAAATAAAATGAAATGAGGTAATAATTATGCAGTTTTTTAAATCATTATTATAAAGATAAACATTTTTTTATTCTTTTTTGTTAAGATGTCTAGTTTTAGATGGATGAGATTATTCTAATTCAATATCAATTGCTTCAATATCAAATTCATATGATTTAATTTTTTTAATTTCATTATTAATAATATTAAGATGTTTTTATAATCTTTATTTTTCATCATCAATAATTACTGAATCTAAGCTCATTAAATATAAGAATATTTTATGCATTATGGAAATATAATCTTTATAATGTGATATTATTATAAGACTCAAAAGGAAACTAAAAATAGTAAATGGTAATAAAACTGATAACCATTTTTATTACTCTAAAGTTGATCTCTATAATGTAGCATCTAATACAATTTAATTTAAACCATCAAAGGTTTATTTTATAGTCAAATAATTTTTGGCAGTGAAATAAAAGAAAGGACTTTCAAATACAACAGATTTAGATGTTAGACCAATTTTAAAATCATATTAGTAATTAGTAAGTATATTAATTAATGATCTTATTGTAACATTTCTTATTTCTCCTTAATAGGAATTTTCTAAAAAGTAAATACTAATATTTTGATTAACTGATAATTGATCTATTTCTTCTCTTTATTAAACTTTATACATGCTATCTCTTAAATGATTAAACATTAATTCAAATGTAGAAAATGGATATATTGTTAATTGATTATATTGTGAAATATTTATAAAACTACCTGCTAATTGTTCTCTATAATTAACTTATGAGAAACGAGAGACATAAAATGATTCATATGGTTCTACAACATCATATCTAACTGATAGAATTTTAATATCAAATATAAATTATTCAAGATTTTCTATCATCACTATAAACTAAAATATAATTACAATATAATTATACTATAATTAGACCAATCAAAATGATTGATATATAAAGTGCAATAAATTTATTCATTTAAATTATTTTCTTAGATTGTTTTTCTGATTTCATTAAAACAGATATAATTTCAAATTTTTTATAATATTTTGATTTTTTTATTGCTGTAATTGAAGATGTAGATCCAATTTCATTTATTTCTTCTTCATGAACAATTTTATTCATTTATTTTTTTAAATCATCATCTTATGAAAATCTTGAACTATGTAATATTCTATTTTATGATAATGGTTCAAATAAATTTTAGATTTTATAATAATCCATTAATTACTATGTCCCCATAGCATTCATATCTGTATTAAATACAATTTGAGGATCTTATTATAATATACATAATGATCCTTCAGGATTGATTCTATTATCAGTATCTGAGTATGGTATCATTTTTTCACATGAATAATCAACTTCACTATTAATATTCATTATTTTTTAAGTAGAACAAGGAAATTAGGAAGTAGAAGTTCTATAAACAGTTGAAGTTTCTTCTCTTAATTTTCTAGATATAGGTCTAATATTATCTAATTCAACAAAATAGCATTAAAATTAATTATGAAATTTCTTTTCTATTTTGATATTTGCATTAAATAAAAAGAATCCTTATTGATTATGATAATCTTTTAATAATTTAATTTCTTAATTTAAAAAAATATCTTGAGTAGTAGATATAAATTATTAAAAATTAGGTATAATTTTTTAGATTGATGTTTAAGGTGTTTTGGTTTCACTAAAAAATAGACTATCTTAAATATCTGAACTAATATTAATAATATCTAATTAATTATCAACAGCTAAATAGGAACGGTATTCTTGACTATCATAAAAGAATAAAATAAATGAAAATTTATCAGAAGTTGTATGATTTATACTAACCATTATTTGAATTGGTAACATAACTTTATCTTATATTTTAAGAAAGGCTAGATTTTATTATTGATAATATTTATTTTTACCATTATTTAAGAAAGATTCTACAAGTTGACGATGATATGAAATTACATATTCTGGTAAGAAAATGTTAATTTCATTATTTTGATGATTTTTAGATTAATTTATTTTTAAAGATTCTAAAATAGAGACTGCTTAACTTGATTTTTTAGTTATAAGAACATCCAAATCAGATGTAAGTTCAGTAATGAAATAAGCAGGATTAACACCAAATATTTTATGGTATATTTATCCTTGAAATGTATTATATTTATCATCATCGAATGCTTTTCCTTTGTTAATATTGAATGCTTCAATATAATCATTTAAGATATTCAAACAAAAGTATTTAAGTAAATTTTGATTAGAGAATGCTTTAATAATATAATATAAATTACTTGGAAATTATTCATATCTATTTAAGAGAACATCTTTGAATTATTTAATTTATTTAATAAATTGAATAGCATAATGAATATTACCATAATTTTGATTTTGATGTTCTAGAAAATTATTATAAAATTAGATTTTGGCTAAGATTATTTTCTTCATTTATTGAATAATTTATTGATCTGTACTTTCATTAAGTACAAAAGACTTTAAAGAATCTGTTATAAGTTTATTATGTTATATATTAGATCCAACATTTTCAGATATTTAAATAAGTACTTAATTTAGAATTTATTCTTTTAAAAATTCTAATAATAGAGTTGTAATAGCAGAGAATCTTTATCTATTTTATGGATATATTGATTAATTAAGAGAAAGACATCTAATAATATGTTATTAAGCTTTAACTAATTAATGATTTTTGAGTAAGGTTTAGGCATAATCAATTGCTAATGAATCTTTAGAACTTTCAACTCTTCCAAAAAATTTTTATTCTAATCTTATTTCAATTAATTTAAGGACTGTTTAATAATGATTTTTTGAATATTCTTTTGTTGTTAAACATATACAATATTATCTTTTATCACATGTTTAATAATGACTTCTACATAGAATATATGTACGTAATTTAGTAGATGTAGTTTCTGGATTACTTAATTCTAATTATGCAAATTAATATTTTAATTAATGGATTTCAAAGTTTTGAATAGAATTAGGCATATAATTATCAAAAATGAATAATATTTTAATTAGAATAAGTGAAATTAGTATCCAATAATTATTACTGATAGTAGTTTATGTAAACAAGACTTCAAATGATAATACTATGCTTATGGAACTTAAGATTAGAGCCGTTTTAGAATAAATTTGATAAGCATATACTTTAATTCTACACAATTCAGTTACAAGGCTTATTTATATTAAGATATTAAGGATGCATTAAATAGTGAGAGGGAACATTGATTGGGAATCTAAATAATAGAATAGTATGATTTAAGATATTTTGAATGTTTTTATTACGTATGAATATGTTGATATATTGATATATAAAATCGATGTTGATTTAAGTGTTAATCCTCTTCTATAAATGAGTTCTCCTATAAACATTATACTAATAGTTTCAATCATAAGTATAGTAGCTACAATAAATTCAGCTAGATTAGAGGAATAACAAAGGCTAATTTCTAAAACGATCGGATAGAATGTTATTGAAACATAATAAATAAATATAGAGAATACAGTAGCAATTATCTATCCAATTTAAGATTGAATATGATTTGAGTAATAATTTTTGTATGCCATTATTGCAGCTATTAAAATAATGAAATTCTGCACAAAAACCATAATCCAAAATATTGATTATTTGACTATTGAGTCAGTAATATATACATATAGTCTTGTAATGATAGTTATTTTTGTTAGACTATGATTTAATTGTTCTATTTAAGGTTATGCATTATAAAATATGAAAGAAGTAGGTTGAATAATTTAATAGAAGAGGATTAGGATATGAATTAACTTTGATTAGTTATATTCTATGGTAAGGAAATGAGAGAGCATCAACAGTATTTATCTTGTAAAGGGTTTAAGGGTTGAAGGCATATAAAATGATTGAAATCTTGAGTATAAATTAAAAATATTTAAGAAAATTGAATAGCTAATATTTAACAATTAATTTGGAAGGATGTTAATGATAATTGTTATTATTGGGTTAATGAAATCAGTTTCTGCTGGCAATGAATTGTGCAGTGGTTGACAATTTTTCACTAATGTGTTCTTAGAGTCTGTCAACTATTTCTTATTGAGCTTATCTATAAAATTAATTATTTAAATAATTAAATACCTTTCAGCAGTTTAAGTTTCATAGATTTCAGATTAAACAGCATACCATGCTTATTATCCAGCAAGTCTTTCTTCACTATTTTCTAATTCTAAAGTATGGAATTCGATCCATGATTATGCATCTTCAATTGTATCTTTTTATTCTTAGATTTAGACTTCTAATTAAGCTTTTCTTTCAACTAATCTAGTATGTTCATTAGATAAATGAACAGAGAATTCAGCCCAATGTGCAGCTTATCTATCTTCAACATCCTTAATTATTAAAATTAATTTAATACAGTCTTGGCAGCTTTCTCGCTCACTAATTATTGTCTAATTTCACTCAAAAGTTAAGCAATCTTAGTCAAAGCTTTTTAATTGACTCCATGAGTAGCAAGTTCTGTAAGAGCTGTAATAACTGGCTATAATTATATATATATATTATTTAAATACTTATAATAAAGCACTATGACTAGTATTATCTGAAAGCTTCTTGTGAAGTGTATCATATTTGCTCTTTAATTAAGCAAATGAGGCTCCAAGACTTAAATGTTAGATCAATTTGGCAGCTTCATCAATAGCATCAATAACATCATCAATAGCAGCAACTTTAGCAACAAATGTTTCATGTTATTAATTTCTTGTGGCTTCTTCTCTAGCATAAGTGGCTTCATTATTAGCAATATCTTAGATAGTAACTCTAATATCTTCTTCTGAGACTGCTAATGCTTCAATAGTATCGTCTCTCAATTAAGTGTTAGAGCTAATTTGATTTTGATGATATAAGATCTCTTTCTCTAAATCTTCAACAATCTGAATATTACACAAATCATTACTCTATTGTTTGTAGTTGTATCAAGTTCAAATGCATGATCATGATCATTTTAGTCTTGTACAATACCAGCACCAACACCATTTAATAACATATTAACTTCATTGGCTGGAGTCTAAGCAAGAAGGTGAGCCTTAATAGCTGACAATACGACATGTCCAAATGGATCAGCATTAATTTAGGCTAAGCTAGTATGAGTATCAACAAACTTAGCAGCTGTGATAGCAAGAACTAATGCCAAGACGGCTAATTTTTACATGTAAATTTAATATTGAATTAAAAACGGATCGAATTAACTCATTAAAATAATTAAAATTCATTTCTTTATTAATTATTCAATTCATTTATTCATTCATTTTAAATCAATATTAATTCTTTATCTATAATTTATATATCTAATAAACTATCCTATTAATTTCTCTATTTTATCTGAACTTATCTCAAAATAATAAATACTTAAATTATTCATAAATATTAAATATATATTTATATAATATCTATTCTCAACTATAAATAAATCATTAAACTTATCTTTATATAAAAATGATAGATTACTATAGATTAATAGATAAATAAGTCTGAATAACTATTATATAAATAAATCACTCTAATTTTAAATTAAATAGATCAATACAAAATAATTAAATTTATTCAATTATTATTATAATTATCATATTAGACTCTATTTTATATAGATGTCCAAATTAAATTTTGTATATTAATTTGAAATGATATTCTAATAATATACTGTTCATTTTATCTATTATAGAATAAGTTAATTAAAATATAAATTATAGATCATTTGTATGTTAATTGAGTTAGATAACTTTAATTTATTAATATAGATTACATTTGTATATATATTAACGAAATTGAATACTAAAAACTATAATATTAATTTGAAATTTTATCAAAATACCAACAATGAACATTAAGCCACGACTTTATGGAGATGCAAATTTAAAAAAGAGACCATCATACTTCGAATTTGAAAACATGGATATTCATTATGGGTATATTGATTATTTATTTTTAGACAACTTGATAATTATGAGATTGTAAGGAAAATTGGAAGAGGAAAATATGCAGAAGTTTTTGAAGGAATCAATGTTAATACACTATAAAAGGTTGTTATCAAAGCTTTAAAACCAAGTATTAAATATTAAATATTTAATAGTAAGATAGAAGAAGATAAAGAGAGAAATCAAAATATTACAAAATTTGAATGGTTAAAACAATGTGTTGAAATTACTTGATGTTGTATTTGATCCTGCTTCAAAGACTACTAGTTTGATTCTTGAGTTCATCAATAACACAGATTATAGAGTCTTATATCCTTAATTGTAGGATCAGGATGTTCGCTTTTATATGTATGAAATTTTGAAAGTAATTTTTAAATTACATTTATATATATAGTCTTTAGATCATTGTCATAGTATGGGTATAATGCATAGAGATATCAAACCACATAATATAATGATTGATCATGAAAAGAAGTTATTAAAATTGATTGACTTTGGATTGGCAGAGTTCTATTTCCCTAATAAAAATTATAATTGTAGAGTAGCTTCTCGATATTTTAAATCTCCTGAACTTCTTTTAGATTATTAATATTATGATTATAGTTTAGATATTTGGAGTTTGGGATGCTTATTTGCTGGAATCATATTTTAATAAGAGCCATTCTTTCATGGATAAGATAATAATGATCAATTAGATAAAATAGCAAGAGTATTAGGAACAGATGATTTGATGAATTATCTCTAGAAATACAACATTTCTTTGGGTCCAAACTTTGAGAATGTATTAGGATAACATCCTAAAAAACCATTCAATAAATTTGTGAATGAAGATAATGAATATTTGGCAAAGGCTGATGCAATTGAATTATTATAGAGCATGCTTATCTATGATCATGTAATAAAATTATCTATATAATAATAGAATCTAAGAATTACAGCCAAAGAAGCAATGTTACATCCTTATTTCCAATCAATCAGAAAGAACTCTAAAAGATAATGATAGTTAGAGTCTTAAATTAATATCAAATATAAACACCATTATCATATAGTATTTATTAATTCTTTACAATCTTATTATATCATCAAACATTATCAAATTTAATTTTTAAGCAATAAATTTATTAATATAAAAAATTATCAGACATCTTCAATAGGCTTTGCTTGATTTCAATATCCTTTATAATGATTATTAAAGTGTGGATAATTCATGAGCATGTCTATAATTATAATTATTATATAATACCCTCTTGTAAAATTAGTTAATTCTGTTCTTGGTATTGCATTTAATTTAGCTGTTAGTTATACAATATCTGATTGTGAAATTGAAGGATTATTTCTATTTAATCTCTCATTAAATTATATTGATTTTGTATAATTAATTTATGGACCAGATTGATAGACTATATCATTTCCCATTCTTGTAATCCCAGTATTTTGTAATTATAATTCAATGTCTAATTTTGAGTCCCAATTCTTAAATCTATCTATTTTCTATTTAGCTCTTGTGGGTGAATCCTAAAATTATTGTTTCTATTGAGGTTTATGAATCATTGGAGATGAACTCTAATGAATGCTACTATAAACAACTTAAGTTTATTTACGAGGACTAATAGTATAATACTAATTAAATTACTGAAACTCTCCTACAACCAATCCATCGAGTCCTCTTTGTTTTCGTTCTGGTGATTCTCTAAACAATCTCATTCTTACAGGAGATACATTTGTAGTATTTGCTGCTTTTACTCCTTTATGAAAAGAGTGATCTGAATTCCCTATTTTACTAATAGCAGTAGATAAAATTCCAAGTTGATTGCTTTATTTATAAACTTTGCTAGTGTCTCCTAAATTCATTGAACTTGTATTTAACATTATTTTATTTTATTGCAATTTTATTTTTAATAGTAAATTTATTATTATTAAATATTTTACTATTTATAATGAAATTTTTATCTCATTTATAAAATGTTATTCTAATCATATTTAAATATAATGGTTAAATGAATAATATTATAATATTAATATCCAATTATATGTTCCAGATACTTTTAATTAAGATTAGATATCATAAGAAAATTTTATATAAATCTAATATTAATAAATGAATAATCTTTTGTATAAATAACTTTAATTCTTATTATTTAAAGGAATTTAATGATAAGATGTTAATAAATTAATAAATTTAAAAATCAGTTATTAGTTTATTGAATAAATATTTATCAAATATAAATATTCTTATTATATAATTATTATGTTTAATTTATTTAATAATAAATCATTATGGTTGCAATTGCTATTCTGTGAGATTGATTTTATAAAATTCATTTTCAACTCTTTGATTTCTTGCAGCAATTAATTTAGCTAATTTAATCTTTTTATAATATAACAAACCCGCAATTAATATTGAGATACCTACTACTGAACAAATGACAGAAACTACAATAACAACTGTATTAGATTAAGTTTCACTTGAGCTTATCGACTATTTTATTGTTCCTATATTATCTTAATTAGATATATCCTTTGGTTCTTCTTAATTAATTGATTCATCTGTTGTAAATAATACATCTGTATCATTTTAGTTATTATTATTATTATTATTATTATTGTTGTTATTATTATTGTTATTATTATTATTATTATTCTATTCTTATCCTGTATTACTATTTGTATTTCCATTACTCTAATTATTAGATCCTGCTTATTATGGAGAAGCTAAAATAATATTTATATATAATAATACTTGATGTTGGTTCAGTAGTTGGGTAATTCAATTTATCAATAACTGAGATGGATGTACTCAATTCTAAAATCTTACCAATTTCAGGGGGTGGATTTAGAAACTCTAATTTACTGGCTAAATTTTCTAAGTTTGCTTTTGATTATTATGATTATTCAGATCCAATTTCTGCACTATCAACAATACCCCATTCAATTTAGACTTAATAAGTTATGCTTTCTTCCAAAAATCTTCTGGTTGATTTTTTTATACCTATTATAAAATAATTATAAGGATCTCCTCCTAATTATGCTCTAGCATATTATAAAAACTTATCACCATAAAATTCTTCAGTAGATAATTCAAATCTAGTTGATATTTAGAGTGTATTTTTAAGAGCAATTTTAACTTTACATCCTAATTATGCATTAACAACAAAATGTATAGTTTTATTTTCATAAAAATAATTATTAGCTCCACATTAATCAGTCATCGTCATTAGATTATGATGTTTAGAATGAGTAGTTAATCCTGGTTATATAGCTTTATTATTAACAAAAACTTAAATAAATTATGGTTCTTAGAATTACCACATTAATATAACAAAATCTTCTGGACTACCAGCTTATCTTCTTTTAGTTAATTAATATTCTGATGCTGTTGGGTTAGTTCCTGCATTAGTCATATTTATCATAGTGTTAGTTGATACAAGAGCTACGAATTTAGATTCTCTTAAATTTAAAGGTTCTGATCCTAACCAATGCCATTCAATTTAACTGTTAATTTCATTAAAGAATTATCCATCAGTTAATTTAATTGGTGAATACAATCTCTTATTATAATCAGGAGCAGTACTCATAAATCCCAAGACAGTAATCTTTCTATCAGGACACCAATATCCATTCCATGAATCTTATCTAGTACAATATGTAACATTAGGTCCAAAATAAGTATTATTACCAATACCTTAACCAATTTATCCAAAGAAATGTCCAGTTTAATCTTCAATTAAAAAATTGATTAATCCTGAACAACCAAATGAACCACAACCTCCAAACCATCCTAATTTTCTAACCTCAAATCCTAATGTATTATATAATAGAGCTTCAAATTAACAATTTGTACATGGTGAATTAATTAAGTAATGTTATCCTGACATATCATGTGCTATTTTATGTTATCTAAAGGCTGCATTATAACCACATTATGGTATATTATCATAAGTGAGTCTAAAATTGTGGAATTCAACATTTGTTAAATAAACTTTGAGATCAATCTTTTAAGGTGTACAAATAATATCAAATTCTGAAGAGATGGGAGTATTAATAGGAGGAAAGGCTGTAGTGGAGACAGTACCCATTTATATCCCTATAGATTCTCTGCAATGAGGACTAAGAGAAGCAGAATAGCATTTAACACAATCAGGTCTAACCAAAGCAGAAATATAAATATTATTAAGCTTCATGTTATTTTCATAATAATTCCATGATCCTAATTTTAATATTATACTTCTATTGTTTTCAGCAACTATACTATTTTCAAGTTAAATTTCTTCAGTTTAAACTGCATACATTATTCCTCCTTCACTATGATGTGCATATAATCCTGATAAATATGTACATTTACTAGATACTTATCTAACTGCAAAACAAACCAACACAGTACCTGAACAATGATTATTATAGAATGATGATATTTAAGCATCACTACATTTATTACCCATAATAAAGAATCCTGTATCTTATGATCCTTATCCTACATTACCTGATATATCAACTATATCCCTTGTCATTTAAGTTGGTATATATTCACCCATATAAATGAAATTTCCAAATACTGCCCAATTAGCAATACCACCTTCCATCTCTTAAATCATTCTTTTCTTCACATATATCATAGCATTGTCTTAAAATTTAACATATTGACTATTATTAATCTATACTAAAGCTTTTATTCCATTAAAGAATATATTATTCTTAATTGTAATATATTATGAATCTTGTATTGTCATTAACATACCTGTAGAATCATGGAATGAACAACCAATAACTTCACTTTGAGTTTTAATGATCTTACTTTTAAGATTTCTAAAATCTAATCCACTTCTTTAAGTATCAAATTATCCACAATTATTAAATTCTACTCCATGTAATATAGTGTAACCTCTTCTTGGAAATCCTAAATTTGCTTCAGGTTCTTCAAATTAGTATATTAAAACTCTACATCCTAAACCATGTACACTAGGTCCACCTTCAATCTTAATCTTTCTAGTTAAATGACCTACTACAGCTCTCATATCTAATTAACCTATCTCTCCCTTATCTATAGTTACTTATGGAGCTCCATAATGATCAAATTCAAGTGCTGTATTTAATGTTATTACACATCCTTAAATAGATTAAATTGTTCTCTTTTCTCTTTAATCTGGATTAGTTCCTGATGGACCAAATACAATTTCATCTCCTACTGCCCAACCACCACATTCTACAACTTAAATTTCTGTAGATCCAGCATCAGCATAAATAGATAATCTAGTCCAAACTGTTTCAGGTGGTGTTGAATATAATTCTAATGCTTTTGTAACAGCTAATACTTTATTACTAACATCTAAATTAGCATCAATTACTAATGGATTATCTCCAAATTCTCCATTCAAAATGATATTAATTTTACCAGGAAATGGATGAGTGATATTACCTGCTAATAATTTACCTGATCTAATCCAAATTCTTTCTGCTTCTAATTTAGTCATAGCTCTTCTTTCATCGAAAATTAAAGTTCCCAAAATTGTTAAATTAGCTAATTTAGGTGTATCAACATCCAATATCACTTGATATGCTGCTTATACAATTGGACTATCACCTTCAATTGGTACTTTATTATCTATCCAAGTATTAGGATCACTCCAGTATCTATATCCATCTTCTTATTTTACATCTCCTAATGAACTACATTCATCTCTACATATAACTCCTCTTACTTCAACATATTCATATTTTTTCTTATTTTTACCAGATAAACATATGAAGAATAATTTATTTGTTTTATCATTAAACCAATCACCTTGATTACAAACATGTGTATCAGGTATCTATTCTAATGAAGTGTAATTAATTGGGAATTATTTTTCAATATGTCTCATAATATCGAAGGTCTCTCTATGAGCTGAATAATTAAATCGTAATACTACAGCATTATCTGCCTCTGTAAAGTAAGGTGATGCAAAGATACCCATGCTCAAAGGATCACTTGCTCCTAATTTGAAATGCACATTATATGTGAATCCAGTAGCAAATATACTAACAAATGATTTAGGAACAT